TCCCCATGATCGCCTGACCTAAATCCAATAGAACACCTGTGGGACATTACGTTTTGATCCATCTGACGCCCCCAGGTTGCACCTCAGACTGTCCAGGAGCTCAGTGATGCCCTTGTCCAGATCAGGGAGGAGATACCCCAGTTGTCTCATTGGGAGCATGCCTGACGTTGCCAGGCATGCATAGACGCACGTGGGGGCCATACAAATTACTGAATACTATTTTGAGTTGCTGCAATGAAATTTCAGCAAAATGGACTGATGGCAAAATGGCAGCATAATTTTTTCACTGTAAATTTTGGGGTGTCCTTGAATTCAGCCCTTTGTAGGTTGATCATTTTCATTTCCATCAAATGATGTGGCATCCTTTTGTTCCTAACACATCACCCAGTCCATATCAGTTTAAACGAACAGCATGATTTGTTGCCCAATTGAGATCTGCTGTGTTTTCAAGGTGTTCCTTTAATTTTTTTGAGCAGTAAAGTTGCCTATTATGCTTATTTGATGTCTTTACGAATCACTTAAAGTTTAACAACTTCTGCGGTTTTTTAAATACGCATCAGCCGTGTTAAATTATCCGTTTTCCAAATTATGTTGGTCTATCAGCCATGATTATACGCTCAGCTACACCTATCCTGCACCATAAATAACCAACATGTGTTGAGCATTGGAAAGTTACTACATGGCCACGCTCCCTCTTTGTCACGAGGCTGGCAGTTTACTTGCACTGGAACATTTTGTCTTCGCCTCCTAAAAGCTATAATTTTCTCCTTCCTTACTCCAAGTCTGATGTATACATCCGCGCGTGACTGAACGTGTCCAGTTTACGCGCCTAATGTGTGTGTGAGATCGGGTTTACTCTCGTAAATCCTGCTCCTATCCTGACAGTGCTCATAATTCCGACAGCACGCCAACGCGGCAAGGACGCAGGGGGGCGTGGCCACAGAGAGGAACATTATGGTGTGGTGATACGTGCAGTGGATCACCATCGTGGTGGTGGACTGTCATCGTAGCAGATCTGTACTGGAACAACACTTGATTGCCAAACACGTCCTCGGACCTTCAGGCTTAAGTGGAGAATTTGTAAACTCTCGCGTTGTTATGGGAGGAGATTATAAACCGCTGCTCATGCGATTTACTGCATCTATTTGCTAACTAAAAGCTTTGTGGAAGGAAGAAACCGGATAAACTGCCCCTGTCGCTCAGAATAGACCATTGAAAAGGTGTATGTGCTACAATTTTTGAAGGTATGTTTTTTTTTTAAGTATTCATTAAGGATGAAATTAACAGTGAAAATATTAGTACTAAAAAACGCTTTTAGCTTCCTATTATAGGCTGTATGCTGCATTATTAGAGATGTCATTGAGTCTGCATTGTTAACCATTGATTTGATCAAAACAATCTGGATGCATTTGCAGGAATATGAATGCCAGTGATGATGCGTGTTTATTCTCATTGTAGTTAATCATTTGTAAACATGCAGCCGGACATCCTCACATATGCATAACATGCGGGATTCTGCAGCCATGATCAAGTGTTGTTTTGCTCTTATATTAAGATGGCTGCCTGTTAAAGATGCACCGATCAAAGCTTACAAAGATCGTTTGTATGATATTTTTACTTGATCGACGTTGATCTGGAATATTTTTGTTGAAATGCTGAAAAATCTGTTTTTCTTTATTTATTGAAGTTTCAAAAACGTGAGAATTCCCACTGTTGTTGGTGTGTGAACGCATCAGCATATTTTTAATGCACAGGTTTCACAAAAATCTGTTCCAGTTCAAAGTACATATAATCTGATGGATAAAATGAGATAATCTGACTTTTTTTTCTTTATTATTATTATTATTATTTATTTATTTTTTTGTCAGATTCAAAATGACCAACTGTTAATTTTAATACATTACTTTAATGAAAAATATCACAATCATTAGATAAAACCTGAATAAAAAATCCATTCATGCTTGAACAATATGAGGAAAAGGCCAGGGAAATTCTGCAGCATGCAAATATGAATTCTGCAGCATGCTAATAATACATCAGACCTTTTCTCTTTGGGTACAAAGGGCAGTGAAGGTCACGTTAGATGTGATATTTTTCACTCTCTGATGTCCTCTCTGTTCAAAAACAACAGCACCCATCATGGATGACGAACTGATGTTCAGCATGGAGGAGGAGGGCAGCGCCCAGAGACCCTCTTCCCAGAGAAACGGCTTCAAACAGCGGGCTTCGTCCCTCAGCGACGCCAACGCCAGCGAGGACGATGATGACGAAGAAAACTTCATCTCACCCATCTTGGGTGAATCTGCTAAAGAATCCGGCAACTACCTGAAAGACTTTGCTTACAACCGGCAGCTGTCAAACTCACTTCCAAAGACCAACTTTCTATACAGGGTGAGCTGTTAGGAAGACGTGTCAGTAAATATTGAAATTAGATAATTATTCTGCATGAAGTATAAACAGTTCTCTTATTTGCTTTCCTCTATGAGTAATTTCCTTATAAGGACAGATGATCCATGCACGTCTGCACAAACACATCACTATGCGTGGTATTTGTAGTGCACGTGCTGTATATCTTATGACTGCAGTGGAAGCTGGCCACTCATCTTTAAATGTACTTGTTCTAAAAAGAACAGGAAGTACCAGAGGGTTGGTTTCAGCTCTTGTGAGCATGTAAACACGCCTAGTCCTGCTCAGCCTGACTCCCTACAGATCAGCAGCAAGGCTGCACACATAAAGCCATTATTCAGTGCACACTGCAGCTTATAAGAGAGACTGCCCCACCAGTCAGCTGTTGTTAGGTTGAATGGCCGTTTGTTTGTTTTGATATCTTCTTGCTTCTTAATGATGTTTGCAATAAGCCTGTTTGAAAAAGAAAATGATTAATGGGCTCCATTCGTTTTCTTTACCTTCTCTAAATAGCATGAAACAGAAACCGAAGCAGAGCATCGATCGTACACTGTAATGTCTGAGAACGCACGGGTATGTTTAAGGGTTTCAAGTTACACTTTACTTTCCTCCCCTCCCTGCCGTCGACCATTCATTCCTCCGTTCTCCTTTTCCTACTCTGTAATTCGCAATCCTCTTCCCTGCTTGGTGTGTTCTTCTTTACGGAAGCCCGTTGCTGCCACTCTTTGATGAAAAAAAAAAAGATTTCTTATAATTAAGAGATAATACCTCATAATTAGGAGACACTATTATCTAAATCAGAGATAGATAAGTCAAAATTATGAGATGTGCTTTTTTTTTCATGAGAGTGGCAGAAAGGGGCTTCCACACTTCTTCGTTGTCACTTTTCATAATTTTTCCCATCATGCTGATTGATGCTTGTTTAATTACAAATGGTACCTCACATCTTCCTTTTTTATTTTACAATTCTTTTCATTTTCACCATTGTTTTTCTTTTAAACTATGTTGTAAAATTGATGTTAGAAATGTAATGTACATTTTCATTTTTTCTGTATATACAGTACCTTGAAAAATATTCACACCCCTTCAAGTTTTTTACATTTAATCATATCACAACTTTAGTTTTGAATCAATTTTTGCTTTTTAGAATGAGGAAAATGATAAATTGCTAATAAAATGTTTTATTTTTGTGGCTAAAAAGCAGCTACAGGATGAATGATTAAATGTTACTGCCATCAAAAGCAACAATTGTTTAGGCTTGATGGCTGCATTAGATTGAAGGGGTTTATTAAAAATACGTATTGTAGCACCACCTTCTTCATTGACGTTCAGAAAAAGTCTTCACTGTAAGCATCACGGACAGGGAAAAATAGAGCATGTTTCCCTCTATAGAATTTAACGTGTAACTGAAATATTGATCCTACCTAAACAAGATAGTAAACTTTGGTTCCACCCTTAAATATGTACAGAAGGTTCAGAATGTTCATTTTCAACATTATTTGTAACATATTAATTGAAAATTGAATCTATGAAATGAACTTAAACAGTATAGCTGCTCCTGATGGCAGTAACAATAAATGTTGTGTGTGCCCCAAGGGGCCCGCAACCCCTTGGAGGTCCTCGGAGGTACTGCATGGGGGTCCGCTAGTTGAAATTTCTTTAAATACACAATAAGATGAATTCAACACACTGTAGTAAACAGATAAATGGAGGCAGAAGATGTCTTTCAGTCATCAATGCTCACATTCAGCGACACACAGGAGCTCTTTCAAGCTTGGCACCGTTTCATTCACAACACCTGTCCCATCAACCAGGAATCAGAATCAGAAATACTTTAATAATCCCAGGAAGAAATTACTTTCGTTACATGACTCCATCTGTAATAAAGTGACTATAGGACCAGTTTGATATAACACAATTTCATGCAATATATATATAATTAGTGGTTCCCCGCTCCATCTGGCCATCAGTTTTTAGGGTCCTTGGCCTGGAAAACTTTGAAAACCCCAGCTTTAGAGTGCTCTAACTGGATAAAGAACTATACGAGAACAGGCCATTTATCATTTAAAGTTTTATGTAAAAAAAAAGTTGCATTTATAGGTGTTGTTCCACAACCAAGATTACTATTTTGTAGTTCTTGGTTGCTGGCTAGCTCAAGTGATAAGTCAACTGTCCTGCAAACAGGAAGTCTGGGTTCGTATCCCAGCTTGAGGGAATGAGCTGCCAGTGTCGCTAGTGTCTCCCTTTGGAATCTGGAGGTTCTGTGATCAGGCCCCACTCCCAAGGACTGCCACTCTGGGTCCCTTAACCCTCACACTCCTTCCCGGGTGTGGCACAATGGCAGCCCACTGCTCCGCAAGGGGATTGGTTAAATGCAGAGAGTTCATTTCCTTGCTCTGTACTTATGACAGTTTAATGACAATAAAACACTGTAAGGAAAAAAGTTGCCTTTTTTTGACAAGTTTTATACCAGTTTTTCTGAAAATAATTGGCTAAAATGGTTAATCTTTAAAACCTTCTAGTGTATTTAAAATGAGGTGCATTCCAGTATTCCCGCCCAGAGGTAACATTGAGCATGCATTAAGTGTGGACATTCTAAAATTAAAATTTCAGTTTATGCCGCTAAAAAAATTTTTTTCCCATAAGTTCTAAAAAAAAAAAGGCTATATTTGTTAGATACCAGTTGCCATGTCAACAGATTGCCGATTAGATTGTAGATTAATTGCAGGGTTGAACAGAACTTAGTGACACTTCCCTAAGGTTCAGATATTGGCGTATAACTTAACCCTTTAAACCTCTCCACGCCTTTGTTGCGTTGGATTGTATTTAGAGGTGTCATATTTTCAGATTTTTAACTTGGAAAAAAAATTGCACTAGTGTCAATTTATTAAAATAAAAACCTCTTAAAGATCTACATTTAATTTTATGATGGCAATGTGACAACATGTGCAGAAACTTGAGATGTTTGGATACGTTTGAATGGCAGTGTAACCATATCATAGCCTCATACTCAGGTGGTCCCCCCGTCTGTTGTGTATTTAACACTCCGCCTGACGTAGTCGTGGTAAAATGATGCCCCTGCATTTGATCACATGAGCCTAAATCCGTCACTCTAAAACTGAACACGTCTGCTAAACAGTGAGAAGTGGGACACGAGGGGGACGTGCAGAATGGCTCCCACCTCCCCCTATGTGCTAACTCATTTAAATCACTTGTGTCAATTGATTTATGGTCTCTGCTAAGACAGTGTATGTTTTGTTTTTTAAGTTGAGTCTTAAAAAGCTTTAAGGATCTCTCTTTATTTAGATAGACCTGCAAATTATCCCATATTCTTTTTCATTTTTAATCAGATTTAATTAAAATTCCTTAAATTTATTGCAATGGTTTGCATAATAATCACCCAAAACCTGCTCAGTTAACAACCTGCTATTTATCAGCCTGTGGTTTAAATATGATAACTACTTGTTGGCTTTTTCAGCAGCATAAACAGAAATTTCAATTTGGTGAACATCTAAGCGACTCTTCAATAGCTAAACCTGTGTATAATAGTTAGAGAAATAATAAAACATTAGAAAACAAGTAGTCAGAAAAAGGATGGAAGAGGACCTGTACTAACAACAAACTTTAATCTACAAAAGTTATGAATATATTAGGAAAGATAGGTGTTTTAACTTCATCATTTCCTCATTCTAATCATTTATATTAGGCCTGTGTCCTCATCTTCAAGGTCTGCCAAGAACTGGGCAGCAGCTGTATTTCAGCAAAAACATCAAACCAGAAGCTGTGTTTTGGGGGTGGAGGGGAGACGAAGCAGGCCAAGAATAACCTTTGTTGTGCAAATTGGGTCGTTTTAAGAGGAACCGCTTCATTACATGTTTGGAAAAACAGGTTTTTGTCTTTTAGGATTAACAATTCAGATACCAGATAAGATGACGCACATCTTCTTCTGTGACAGGCGGCGTGGATAAAGGCGATTGAGAAAGCCCGAGCCATGCCTGACCCCTGGGCGCAGTTTCACCTGGAGGAGATTGAGACTGAACCCTGCATTCGTTACAGGTGAGAATAACAAAGCATTAATTCAGACCTTCCTACTATTGTTTTAATGTTGTTTTTTTTTGCTATAACATCTGCTCTTGCTAATAAACCATTATGTGCAGCTAGACGGTGAATGCAGTCCCATGCAAAAACATTAAAACCACATTCTTCTCATTTTTTAAGTACAGACTATACCTTATATGTGACGTTATGTTGCAAAGTGGTACAGACAAGTAAATAATTTTTGATTAGATTCATTTTGAATGATGTAGAATAAATCCAGGATAGATAGACCTCATTATTGAATTCTGTGTAATTCCCTCTCTGTATAATTATGTAGGAGTAAGCTGCTCTGCTCAGATAAGACAATCAATACTGTGTGAATGCTTGATCTATTTCTTTTAAATATTTCACAACAATGTATGAAGCTAAAAGAGACACTTCCTCCAAAAAAAAAAAAACAACAACATGCAGCCTTAATTGCATCAGAAGGTTCTACAAAGTATGAGCTAATCATGTCTGTTGCATAATCATACAGCGAGTATGGTAAAACGTGGAGGCAGTGACATGCGTATGTTGCTGCATGGGTTGTGCAGAGTGATCAGTAAAGCTTTTCCAGCCTTCTTAAGGTACCAGAAGCTTGTAGCCGTATTCATCTAAATGCATTCCTGTTTTCCTGCAACTCCAAACACTTTTGTAACACTTCTGTTTACATGAAAACATGACATCTGAACTTGGGTCAAGGTGTAAACACTAAAGCTAACCCCACCTCATCACCTAAAATAGTCAATAAAATGACCGTGCTGTCATTCGGTGATTTGTTTACAAAGAGCAGCGGAGTCAGCGCGGTCAGATTGGCTTGCAGCCGGATGCTTCACACGTCGCTGGGTTAGACGTTGGCATATTGACAAACATCTCCACGCCCTCAAAGTTGAACATTAAGCAAAACCCTTAAGTGTTTTTTTTTAGAGAATTATCATCTTACATTTGGGCGCGGTACTAAGATATTGAAGGCCAACTTGGCTGCTAATATAAACAAACACACACCCTCCTTAAACTATGTAAGCTACAGTGGCATGAACACAACAACAGGGGTGTGGGTGTGTGCAAAAAGCAGCAGGGGTGAGTAAGGACGTCCGAGGCTGGGATTTGCCCTGATGTGCATTCTCTCTCTCTCTGTTCTAATTTTACATGCCTGTAACTTCAACCTTCCTGCACCCTGGCTACAGTGGTACGCTGTGTTCCCAGGCCTGAAATGTCACAGCAAACAGACTTGAAAATGAGTTGTTATTACCGTATGTTATTTCCCTCATTTAAGCGAGAGGAATGCATCCTCTTAGCAGCAGCTCTAAGGGCTGCCTATCCTACAGGGTTTAATACCTCGCTGCACACTCCCTGCTGATTCAGATAAACAGACCCTCATTGATATTTCTATCACTGATTTACCTCCCCTTACTCCCAGCTAAAGTCAGTATGAAAGCAGTCAGGATGACCTTTCCTTAAGAACAGAACCTCCTTGTTTCATTCTGTTCCTCTTTTACCTACCAGATGAATCATGTGGCTTCCTGATAAGAATGGATAATGAGCTGTGGACAAAGTTCTGCACTTGGCAAACACAAATGAACCCGAGTCCTTTTAATCCAAGCCTCTGCTATGGAAGAAGGGAAGCAGTGAGAGTGAGAAAGGAAAAGTGAACCCATGCTGATATTAAGTAACAGGTGGTGAAAGAAAAAAAAGATATTTTATTTCCTCACTTGCAGATTGAGGGTCACAGGGTTCAGTTGCCCAGCCGCATAACAGAGCAGCAGATGCTCGGCTTACGCTGTGACATGGCAAAGCATCAAATGCCTCCTTTTAACGAGTGACAGCAAGGAATGTTTCAGTTTCTACATTGGAGCAGCAACTTTAAAAATATGTCATTATTGCAAGATTTGAATTATTAACAGCTAAACATCTGTGTGCAAAACCAAAGAGGAAGCCCTGTGGGTTGTTAATGGTGTGGTATGGTGGTGGCAGCATCATGCCGAGGGGATGCTTTTCTTCTTTTTATACAGGGACCCATTGTGGGTTGAGTTAAATGGAATCCTTAATATTATTTGACTTTATGTTGTAAAGGATGTGAGTTTCTCCTCTGTCTGTGTGAAGTGATTTTAGAGTCCATTTCTTTCGTAGTAGACTTTTTTTGGTATTGTATTGTAGCTTTTTGCTAATGTGGGTTGTGTTTAGTGAACTTAAGTGGGTCCAACACATGAAACAAGCCATTAACCATCAACTGAGTAACAACCAGAATAGGCCGGACATATTTTTATATGACGATAATCCTCAGGTTATCAGATTATTATTTATATGTTATATGAGGTTATTATTTATGCATTTGACATTTAGATGTCTAAATGATCTGTAACTATAAAAAACACTGTTTGCAAAATGATTGTTCTCTTATTTTACTTCCTGTCATTTACAAACCTATGACCACCTGAGTCATTGGAGGCTTCAGTTGATATACTTAGTAATATAATTTTTTTAAAGGCTTTTTTGTTTTATTTCTTCACAGGTACAGCGCTGTCACAGGGGAATGGGCTCAAGACCAGATCCACATCAAGATGGCGGCACAGGTATTTTAACTAAAGTCATTATGGGAGCATTAAGGGATCATAATGGGTTGGCAAAAATGTCCAAATGAGTTCCATGAAGGCCTAATATTAATTTCCTATCTGTTTCATAAAAGATGGGCAGCAATACACAATGAATAAGAATAAAATTAAAGTAAATTAGCTAAGTAAAAGTCTTAAACTGGATGTTATTTATGAGAATTTCAGCTTCTGGCTACTTAAAACAAAATTAATATTAGAATATTGTCAGAATATTAAAAAAAATCTATCTATACATACAAATGTGCTTGGTTAAAAGTGTTTAATATCAGCTTAATAATCTTTGAAAATGTGACTTTTTTTATTTTATTTGACAAAGTGACATCAGGAAGCATATTTTTATGATTTGTTAATGATAGATCAAGTTCTGCATAAGGTAGAGTAACACAATCATGCTTTATTAGTAATAAGGCTGAAATATAACTTGCCCAGTAGTTTAGGGCCTAATTATTACAAATCCAGACTGATCAAAATCCATAAGGGATGTATGTTCCTCCCCTTCTTTAGTGGTTGGATGGGGCTTTGGTGTCATGTTTAATAAAAGGAAAAATATAAGTTACCGTACAGTAAAGTTAATTCTCTGTCTGGTTTCCTGGTTTCTTACAGCCCTTCGGGAAAGGAGCCATGAGGGAGTGCTTCAGAGCGTGAGTTAAAACATTTCTCCGCATTCATCTTCTCATTTAGCTTCTTTTGGGGATTTAGAGACAACATAAACTAAAGATTAATAGACGCTGACCCATATTCTCTGTCGTGGGGACTGCAGCTGATGGACACTGTATTTTTAGATCGCAGCACTAAAGATAGAATATTGTTTATTTGTGGCTGCAGTCTCATAACATTGACCCCCCAGATGTTTGTGGTTTGAGTAAATTCCAAGCCATTATATGTTTATTTTCCTAGATAACAATATTAAACTAGAGCCGCTAGAGGTTATTAAATGGATTCGTGCCGTCCTCAGTAAGCCTGGTGGCTCGCCGTCCTGTCTGTTTCCCCCCAAATCAGCTCAATGAGTCTTTGAAAGGGTCTTAATATTTTTTTGTTGCCTCCTATAAATGTTTGTACTGCTTTGAACATCCATTTATGGGGGCATTAAGCATCTTAGTTTCAGTGCCTGAAGTCTACAGCTGAGAGGACTCCAAAAGGGACGACATTAACAATGATTTATTATAACTGGGAAGCAGGCATTAACCATAATTTAAGGAATTTGAAGAAATAAAATGGAGACAATTTAAGGATATTCTAAAATATTGATGTATTTTTCCAGTAAAACCATTTTTCACACCTTTTTTTCTAAACCTTCAGGTCAAAGCGGTCATTAGTAATTACCAACAGTATTTAATAAATTATATGTAAACAGATTCATACGCTATTTAACAGCTGCTGCAGATATTATGTTTGGGAAAAGTTATTAGACCTAACGATTTCCCCATACTAGCACTAATTAAATTACCCAATTTAAGGCATATATAGTTTAGGCCCTATACTGTATCCTTGAACTGGAGCACTTAAGTGATTTATGAGGGTTTTTTTTTTAAACGCTCTGATCAAATTTCTGAATTTGCCATAAGTCTATGCTGTATTCTGCCTGTTTATTGCTTAAAACTGAAACAGAATCTGATATAAAAGCAGAACCCCATGCCCAGACACATTTCACATCGAGAAAAAGGCAAACGTGGAGATTTAAGTGGGCGCATGGTAAGAATGAAGGAAAATGACTGTGGATTTTAAAGATTATCTAAGTAGCTAAAATGCTATGTGGGATAAAATGCTCAGCTAATCTATCAATGGATCGGAAGTCAGAATACCACATAGAACAGCTTTTCTGACATAGTTATGGTTGTAACATTAGGGCGTTAGGATTGGTTGGCTAGAACGGTCTAATGTTTCTCTGAGTGCAGCATTATTCCTGAACCTGGGGTTGTGACTAGGGCTGCAACTACCGGTAACGCTTATTTTGCAAACAGTTAATCTATTGATTCATTTTTCAATTAATGGATTAATAACCGGATAACCAAAATTAAACCAGGTAACACTGAAATGTTTCCACTTGAGGAGTTCTGGATTGAACATATTGACAAATGAAAAAGTATTTTTTTTTTAGCTTAAATACAAAATGTTTACACATCTTTTATTTATTTATTTTTTTTACGGCACTAGTGGCTAATTTTTTCGAGAGTAGGCTGCCCGGAATGGGGATATGAGAGAGGGGGGGAGACATGCAGCAAAGGACCACAACTCTGATTTGAACCCGGGTCGGAGAACTAAGGTCTCCGTACTAACCACTGGGCCACCTGCATTCCCCAAATATTGATTATTTTTTTTTACAATTTTAATATAATTATGCTCTAAGTGCTATTTCAGCTAAAGGCATGTTTTACAGTCTCTATACTCCTGTTAACCATTAATAGATCATTAAATTATTTGACAATTATTTTAATAATCAAGATTAATCCGATTAATTGTTTCAGCCCTAGTTGTGACCAAGCTAACATCAACTGTTTTTATCACTAAGACTGTTGTAGGATCAACAGAATACCTTCTCAACCAAATTCTTTAGGGAGTTTTGAACAATAAAAATAGACAGACAGCAGCGCCCCGAGGTGTTGGATCTTTACCAAATTGCTGAACTTTATCAGCTTAATGATACATTTTTTCTCAGAAAACTGTGATCCTCAATGACTCCTTGTGTCATTTGGTACCTGGTCGCACGAAAAGCATAAATAACCGATTTGTTTTCCAAGTCTAAATGGTGTTTTATTTTGAAAAATGAAGGGATTCTCCCATTAAATCCATCTTGGACTCACTCTTGACGTAGGTCGGCCATGACACCTCACCTCCAGCTTCAAACCCCTACCTGGTTGCAGCAAAATAAGCTCAAGTCTCCCAGTGACTCACTGCTATCATGAGTAGTTAATAGGCTGGACTTTGTTTTTGTGGTGTCTTCTTTGACAGGCATTTTAAACGTTTCTATATCGACAGAGTCATCTAAAGATCAGTCAATTAAAAGGGTGTCTGCATTAAACCGGTTTGTGGCACAAAAATGGTTTAATGTTACAGTGTAGATATGCATCAAATTTGAATATTTCTTACAATAACTAAAATTTGAACCCAAAAGGTTTTCGGTTGTTTAACCAAAAATAAAATTTGTTTGCACACAAATTTCCTCTTTGAAAAAAACCATCTGCAGTCAAATCAACCTGAAACTTACATACATATCTCTTGCCCTATTCAGGCATTTAAGCCATTGGTAAAATGTTAATTGAGCATTTGCATATTAATGAAAAAGCCTAAGTGAGCGTGGCTTATCTCAAACAGAATCACCAAATGATTCCATACCTACAGGTTTTTTAAAAAAGCGTGATTTACACGGTATCATGTTTCTTAAGCTTTGCAAAGCTTGGACCCCAATACACAAAAAATGATAATAGTTGTATTTCCCCATTTAATCCTCATTAAGTTGGAAATATAAACTGTTTACCTTTTAATAAGTGAAAAATTCCCCCTGTGGCCTTACAAGACCATGCATGTTCCTCTCTAACAGACCAAACTGCCATATCCAGCCTGTTTTTCTTGTAGCGAACCTTTAATGCTTGAGTTTAAAGCAGTTTCCTCTGTTAACAGAACACTTTCAGCTCGTCCCGTAATTTATTGTTCTACTTTTTAGATTTTTGATAAAGATCTTTATAAAACTGTATTTATTTGTATGGGGATTATTATACATTTCTTGACATACATCCTGCTGCCTTGTTTCCTTCCAGCAAGAAGTTGTCAAACTTCTCACACAGCAGCAACTGGAAGTCAGCGTCAAACTATGTGGCCAAGCGCTACATGGAGACCGTGGACAGAGAGGTTTACTTTGAAGACGTCCGGCTGCAGATGGAGGCCAAACTCTGGGGAGAGGAGTACAACCGGCACAGACCTCCCAAACAGGTAGAAGGAAAAACATTCACTTTAATGCACCATACTAATATGTATTATGAGAGTAGAAGTAATAAGTTGTAGCCTGACAGAAAATGTGTTATGCAATGCTTAGGTGGACATCATGCAGATGTGTGTGGTGGAGATGACAAACAGGCCGGGAAAGCCTGTCTTCCACCTGGAGCATTACATTGAGGGAAAGTACATCAAGTACAACTCCAACTCTGGTTTCGTGAGGGACGACAACATCCGGCTGACTCCACAGGTGAGGGATGTTACATCTCAGTGAGGAGACGCCCCTGGCCTGCAGCCCTCTATAATCTCACCCTTTCCTCCATCAGGCCTTCAGTCACTTCACCTTTGAGCGCTCCGGCCACCAGCTGATCGTGGTGGACATCCAGGGAGTCGGAGATCTTTACACGGACCCTCAGATCCACACAGAGAAGGGAACAGATTTCGGAGATGGGAATCTCGGTACGTTTCTTCTCTTTACTCCTTAATGGCCACAGAAATTCCTCAGTCTGACGACATCGGCGTTCCAGGTGTGCGAGGCATGGCTCTGTTCTTCCATTCCCACCTGTGCAACAAGATCTGCAAGAGCATGGGCCTGACGCCTTTCGACCTTTCCGAGCCGGAGTCGTCCCAGCTGGACTGTACCAACAAACTTCTGGTAATTTTACTAATTTATTACTACTGGTAAGCTTCCTGAAGGTAGCAGCTGGTTAGATTAACCAGAGATTTCTAGAGGGATCCTGAACAGTCTGGAATATCCACCCGCACATCCCTCCTCTAAGTTCTTTCTTGCATTTTTCCAGAAGTCAGCCAAGACGGTGCTAAGAGGCTGTGAAGAGGTCTGCGGCTCGCCACGTGTCCGCACCTGGTCTGCAAGCCGGGTCCCTCCCCTTTTGTCCCGCTTGTCTGATCCCTCATCCGCTGACGAGAGCGCGAGCGACGTGGACTCTATCCCCTGCTCGCCTCTCACCCTCCCCTTTTCTCCTGTAGTGGCTCCTGGATCCATGGGCAGATCCCCCTCTGGTACGTTCCTAAAACTTTATTATTCTGCATATAATCCAATAGGACTATTCCAGTTCTGACATTTTACTGTATTTTCCAGGCCTGTCGCTCTCTGGAATGTATGAACACGACAGGCTGAACAATAACACAGCTGATCACAGGGTGAGTAATGACTAAGTGAGCAGAACTAGAAAAATTAGCTGCAAACTCCTCGCATATGAAAGTGTAGCTAGTTAGATAGTAGGAGTTAGATAAGAAAAAAAAAATGCGTATTGATTTATTTTGCATTTAAAAAGCATTTCAAATTCTTGAAAAACAACGTAATTACTTAGAATTTAATGAATGAATGGCATATTATATAGTGGCACTTTAAGTCCTCTGTATTATCATGTTGAACCATCTACTGAGGGTTTTTACTGTTCGTCTCTGTTCAAACCACTTTTCCCACACATGGAGGATTATGGGTGTTCAGCCTCCTGCCACCCAGCAGACATTTTGCTTGTGTGCAGCCCGGCTAACAAACAGCAGTTAGGCCCCCTAGATGAGGAGGCTTTGCATGGGTCCAAAGCTGTTTTTTTTGGAAAGGCTCGACGTGCTGACGGCAGCTGAGGCCTGTTCAACAATGCATCTGCTCACAAGTGCAGCTCGTGAAAACAGACCTTTTCTGTAACAGTGCTCTGAAACAACAACCCATTGTTTTTGCCATATGGTCTGTTTAAGCTTCTGAAAGATATTTCTTGTTTGTTCAGAGGTTTGTTGCTCTTTACTTTTTGTGTCCATGGAAAATAGGAGGGAAAAAAAGATGCACATAGACACATTTCTAATTGGGTTTCAAAAAATTTTGGGGATCAGTTGCCATTATTACTCTACAGTGAGAGAAACCAAACACCCATCTGATAATATGTATGTTTTATTGGAAAATGGGAGCATCAGATACTATTAAAAGTTACCAAAATGGGAGGTGAGACTCTGGCTCAATCCAAGTACCTCAAATTGGTAAAGGCACCTAAGCTATGGCGGAAGTGCATCCAAAGTCGCCACAGTAAGTGTTATCCAAATAGTGCTGCACTGGAAAACGATATAGAAATAAGTAAAAAATTGTTAAATTAAGTGTATTTACACTTAATTTGAGTAGGTAAATAAGATAATTTGCATATGGAATGAGTATTTTTACTCTTAAAATAAGATATTTGGATAAAATGCACTTGAAATAAGACAATGCAATTGTGTTTTCTTATTTTAAGAGTAAATTGTCTTGTTCCATTGGCAAAATGTCTCTTTTACCTCCTTAATCCAAGAGCAAATGTAGTTATTTTAGGAAAAAATGACTCATTTAGATTTCAATTTTTTCCAGTGTGGAAGTAAAGAAAGAGCAAGGAGGAGGAAGCAGGATGCTTCCTAGTGCCCATACAGTTTGCATAATGACTCTCGGACGTCCTTAGCTTCCCCTGATAGCTATATGGTTTCCCACAATCCTTTGCGTTACAGAATGTATGGGCACAGCCTAGCATGTGGAGTTTAACAAAATACATTAATTTCACGACACATACTTTGTGAGACACATGCTAATGTCTCATCATATGTTTTAGGTTTAAATTGGAGAGCTTCATCCATTTGCTAAATTTGTGTAACTTTTGTTTTTGTAGTTCTTTTCCAGTAGGCTGTGTCCCAATTTGACCATCGTCATATTTGTATGTGTCCACCGAGTAATGAGATCTATAAGGCTGAAGGCTGTCTGGATTCAGAACAGCAGTCCTGGCTTCCTTTCCTGCCCTGGATAATGTTTTTACTGTTGACCCTGCGAAAGGTGAAGGGAAAGGCGCTAAGAGCAGGAGGTAGGAGCTAGAATTTGAGGTATTTGGATCGAGCAGCTGTTTCTCTCACAAATCTAGATTAAAACTGCATAGCAGAAGTCTTTATTGGGGAGGTGTGACCCCATAGTGGCAGAGGTACTGCAGAACGAGTTGGAAAATTGAAGACATTTATCATAAATAAATCAAGTTTAATATAATGTTTACTGGTTTTAATTTCAATATTGGCTTATTTTTGTCTTACCTTACCATGGGTATCAAGAATTAGTACCAAGACCTGATAGCTGTGGACTAATCCTGATTTATTTTGTCATATTTTCAGTTGGAAATTAGTTCTAAGATCTTGTCAGTACCACTTTTACATAGGACAGTGTTTCATTGAACAGTCAGAAGTTTAATTATCCATGGGTTATTCTACCAACTATGAAACCATGGGTTACATCCTAAGACTCTATTTTGGTTTTTAATTGAACACTTTTTTTTATACTTTTGTTAGATGTGTCAGCATTTTGTCTCCTGTTTGCAGGAGTCTGAGAGCGGCGGAGACAGCGGCTACCCCAGCGAGAGGAGGAGTGAAGGGGATCCTAATGATCACATAGACGGGGTAATGACTTCATCTTCTCAGATCCAAATTTATCTAAAATTTATTATTACCACAGTTATAATGATCCAGTTGGTAAATATCCCAGTAGGATATATCTGATATACAACAAAATAGTTGAGTTTTACTCCTATTATAAAGGTGCATTCCCTGACAGCAGGTGGATTAATGCATGTTGTGTGTCTTCATATAGGCCCATCACCGCTACCACAGACCTTACTCTGAGTCGGATGACGACAGCATCAGACGGGTAAATAAGCTACAATACATTTGTGTGGTCCCCCCCCTCCCCTGGATCAAAGTCATTCTGGCTACGATCCAATAACCCCTTTCTTGATTTCCTCCCTCATTATCATGTTTTTACATTTTCCCTCCTTTTAAAATCAACCATTCCACTCCTTTTCATTAACATGGCTCCTACTCATCTGTTTCCCTCCCCTAACTAGAGGAAGATGGCTCCTTTAAGAGTCTCAGCAAACTTATACTCACAAAGTCCAGCCAATGAAGGGGTGATTATTTGCATGTAGGCTTTGTAAAGCAGCTGTTTCCTTTTAAGCGCTTTTGCTGTTTCCAAAGCTTTAAAGATTTGTGCAGCTGCTCCAATATGCACGCTTCAGGATGTTTCTAGGTTGTTTTTGTTAGCACAGTTGATAAATATTATGAATCACAGTTAGATGATTTGCAGAAGCTAAACACCATCTACCTCCAGTTGACTGACTCCACCATTTAGTTTAACACTTGACGCCACAATGGCTTTCTGTGTGTTTTTTGGCTTCTTTGGCTCTGAGCTCAAACCTGCTGTTTGTTATTCCCTGCTCTCCATAAGAGTTGCTCATAATTCATTGACTGCCTCTTTTTTTGTTTGATCTTGGTTGGCGGGGTCTAATCAGATGACAGACGAGAAGTGGACCTTCTTCCATTCATCTCGTGCCCACGTCCACCGTTCTTCCTGCGTGGCCACCGAGGTGGAGCGCCTTAACGCTCTGATGCAGAAAAAGATTGGCCAGTCCATCCTGGGAAAGGTGAGACCACAAACGTTAGATTTATTCAACCTTAACGTTAGTAAAGATCCGACCAAAACCAGCAGCTTTTGTCCCATTTTGATTTCAGTTTAGCATTCTGACCCAACTGAAGAATAATCTGTAATCAAGTACTAATACCCAGTGCTTTAAGTGGAAAAAATAAGTGCTGGCACTCCTTTAATACTTTACAAACATAGCTAATATTTTTATTCAGATCTATCTATCGTTCTATTAATCTAATTATAAAGAAAAAATAAGCAAAGCATTCCTAAATCAAATCTATGTGAGCTAAATTTAGTGTCATAAACCACTTATTTATATTAAGGATATAGTGCAGGATGTTCTTTTTCCAGGTGGATCATCAAAATAAGTGGTCCTCCAAATTGTCAATCATTCTGGTGATATGCTTACGTAAGGCCTTCCTACGTGCTCCGAGTCTGACATAGTGGAAAAAAATGCTAATCTTCTTTTGGAAACTAAGCTTGTCTGAGCGATGCAAACAGCAACTTTTAAACAAAGCGTGCACGAGGAGAAATGGGCGTGTGAAAGATCATAGATATATTAGCTAATCATTATACCTGATATTTAATTTGCTTTTATTTTGACGCCTCTGATTTCTCTTGTCCAGGTCCACCTGGCCATGGTCCGCTACCACGAAGCGGGTCGGTTCTGCGAGAAGGACGAGCAGTGGGATCAGGACTCAGCCTTTTTCCACCTGGAGAGAGCTGCCCTGTGCGGAGAGCTGGAGGCCATAGTAGCCTTGGGAAAGTGTTACCTCCAGCTGCCTCATCATGTCCTTCCAGACATGGAGGTGGAGGTAAAACCTGCTAATTTGGCTCCTTATTTTACTAGGGAGCTGATGGGACTTGGTTTAAGCCTTTTTCCACTGTGCATGTTTGTTTGCAGGATAACGCTGGTTACAGGATGAAGGGATTTAAGTATCTGCTGCAGGCTGCTGAGGCTGGAGACAGATCTTCTATGATCATCGTGGCCAGAGCCTTCGATACTGGATTCAATCTGTCTGCTGACAGGTCAGTGAAGGGTTGGCAAGCAGATATATTTAGAGTACTAAGATGATTTGATATTTTACTGCACCCTAGTGGATTTATAATAGAATTAGATTTAGCTTTGGAGTTTTTCTCTCATAAAGGTCCCCTAAATATCTATGCTTTTATATTCACAGAAAGCAGGACTGGGCTGAAGCGATCCACTGGTACGACAGCGCTCTGAACATGATGGACTATGATGAAGGCGGGGAGTTTGACGGCACGCAGGACGAGCCGAGGTACTTGCTGCTGGCTAGAGAGGCAGAGATGTACCAAGAGGGAGGCTTCAACCTCACCGCAGATCCACAGAAAGCAGGTTCGCTTCCATCTCAACCTTAAAGTTTTCATTAAACCTTCATGATTTCTATTTTATTTTCTTTCCTTACACTCAAACGTCCCACATTATAAAGTTCAGGCTACCCAAACCTAACTGGCCGCTGTGTAAAATGATGTAACTGTAATAAAGCTCGCTGTATGGTGCATTTTAATTAGCCAGATCTGTTGAATCAGTAAGCAGTTGCCTGAAAACATAAAGTAGGCTAGAGAATATTAAAAATAAATACTCAGAGACCCAATAAAAAAAAATCATAAAGAAATCAAGAACAGATAACGAACACAAATGGGACAAAATCTGGTATAGTTTTTCAATCCATTCTTGAATTTAGCCTCAATTTAAACCATTTGATTAAAATATAAATAGGATATGTTGAAAGTGAAACAGGTAATAGACTTAAGAGCCATTTAAATCCTATATTTATACCAGTTTGCATAGGCAAAATGAAATGGATGATAACATTTGTCTGTTTGTTTTAACAGCCGTTAACGTTTAATCTCTCAATGCAGGGGATCTGTTTACGGAAGCTGCAGAAGCTGCCATTGCAGCCATGAAAGGTCGCCTGGCTAACCAGTACTACATGAAAGCTGAAGAGGCCTGGGCACTGGTCGAAGAGTAGTTATGGAGACCGATTGAAGCCTGGGGCAGTTTATGAGTCACATGGATTTTTACACGTTCAGCATTTTACCCTGAATAATGATTGTTTACATATTTTTACGACAGACTTTTTGCTGTTAGCAGTTTTCATGTGTGTGTGTTTGCTGAGCCATTGACGATCAGATTTCTCTCTGCTTGTTTTCCTCTTTTTTTTCTGAAGCTAATCATCCTGTCTTCCTTTTTTTCAGCTAATACTCGGACCCTTGTTTTATAATTTAATTCAAAATGGTTGTGTAAATAAGAAAAGAAAAAAGGTCTGAAGAATCTGAACAAAGATAAATGTTTACTTATTTTCCCCTCTAATGTTATTTAATTAACGTTGGAAGAGCTTATGTATAAAGATATAGAGTATGAAAGTATAAAATAAAGTTTGCCTTGCTTTTTATTGGTCTTGAATTCTTTTACGTCTCTGTCCGGTCTGCAGCTAAATACATTTTGATTTTGTCACATTGCACTCCATGTTTAGGGGGTAAAAATGTGTAAATCAGAAATACTTTCATAATCCCAGAGAGAAATTACTTTTGTTACATCCTCCAGTGACAGTTTATATATATATATATATATATATATATATATA